AACAATAGTTTGAGAGAATATGCTCAATCATAAATATTTGATATTTATCATATAGTTAATATTAACTTATTCATATGTTTTCATTAATTTAGAATAGTAAAACAGACTACAAAAAGTGATATATTTCTTTTATTTTAATGACTGGTAAAAAACTTTAAAAATATTTTTAAAAAACTATATTTGATAATGACATTCTGAATTATTTAAAAAAATTTCAGATTGTAATTATTTATTGATTTTACTTGTAATATAATATTTTTAAGATCACTATACATTAATATATTTTTTTTTAAATAATTAAATGCTGAAGACTTTAATTATCAAGAAATACAATAGGTAGAATTATTGAAATTCTTTATGACATAAAATGACTTCAAATTTAAGAACTAAACTTAAGGTTTTTTCTCTATAATGTTGTTCAAGCTGAATCCATTCTATTGTCAGAAGATTTCTTAACAAGTTTTTAAAATTCAAGCAGAGGAACAATTTTGTTTGCAATAAACAAACTGAACCTTTATTTGAATTTTAAAACTTGTTAAAAAATCTGATTAAGGATTGATTTTAGTTCCAAAAACATTTCAGAAAACACAAACTGTTTTCTAAAATGTTTTTGGGAAACATAAAATTTCTTATTAAATTTAAGACTGTTTCTTTGACTGATTTAACTTCAATATTAAACAAAATGACCTGCTAGAAAATATAATTTTAAAAGAATTACTGCATATTTTACAAAATCAGAAAAGATTTTGATGTATAGTTTGCTATGTAAAATTTTCATAAATTCATTAATTTTTTCTGATAATTTCTATAAGGAAATAAAAACAATGGTTCATCTATACTCTCCTATTTTATGTTTATAAAATATTAAAGAATATATAAAGAAATTGAAAATTTATGTTATTCATAAAATGATCATTTTTAATTACAATTGAAAATTATTATTTCATGAGTAATATAAATTTTCAATTTTTTAACAATTATAAGCTTTAAATTTCTTTCTTAGTAAAATAATTATATATATATATATAAAAGTGGTCGGGATCCCGG